TTTAAGTTTGTACGATTACATCGATTTCTTGTGCAATTTGAATTACACGCCGAAGAACATCGAAATGATTACGCGAAAGGGGGCCGACTGTATCGGGGCGAAGAGGGCGGGGCATATTGGTAATTTGAACTACCCTTCGATGACGGCAGTTTTCCAACAATACGGAAAGAGTAAGCTCTCGACGCATTTCATAAGGAGCGTGACGAATGTGGGGGATTCGAATTCGATTTACACGGTGAGGATTCGGCCGCCGCACGGGGTGGCGGTGGTGGTGGAGCCGGAGAGGCTGGTATTCCGGCGGGTGGGGCAGAGGTTGAATTTTCTGGTGAGGGTGCAAGTGGAGGCGGTGAAGGGGTTGTCTCAGGGGAGTTCGGTTGTGAAGAGTGGGTCAATAGTGTGGTCTGATGGGAAGCATATTGTGAATAGTCCAGTAGTTGTCACTCTGCAGCAGCCACTTTGATCAAAAAAAAAAAAACCTTAATCTTTGCTAAGAAAAGATTTGTGAGATAAATATATATATATATATATATATATATATATATATATATATATATATATATATATATATATATATATATATATATATATATATATATATATATATATATGTATGTATAATGGGGCATCTTTCTAGTTGAGAAAGTAGCCATAAGAGTAAGTTGGTTTGTAGGTGTTGTTGATCAAGAGTTTGTGTAATAACATGGTAGAATCAAGAATGTTTTTTGTGAAGAAAAGAAAAAATAATTACAGTCAAACAAATATAAATATTTAAAGTAGGATGCAGGAATTTGTCATAGGAGTTTGCAAAGTAAATCAATTATATGGTCAGAAACAAAGATTTTAATGCAGTAAAACTAAAAAAAATAAACAAAAAGTAGGTAACAACAAAATTATTTAAAAAGTGGGGCCCATTAGTGTGAAAAATAGTGTAGTGGCAGACCACCATAACATTTCTGATGTCTCCATCATTTCTCATGCTCTCGTGACTCGTCAGCCAAACAGTTTAGGGTTTGTTTGGTTTTTCCCTTTTTTCTTTCTTTTAATATTCTATTAATTTTAGTTTGTATTTTAGTGAAAACAAATATTTTTATAGCTTATATTAATAATCACTTTGTTAAATATTTAATGTTAAGATTTCTTCACGAAGAAGATTATTGGTGATTAGAACTAATCGTCCATGACGGCGGTGTTCCAACACTACGGGAGGAGCAATTTTTTTCCGGCAGGTGGGGGCGGAAGTCGAATTTTCCGGTCCACCTGAGGTAAGGACTATTTACGAAACCCTTCTAGTATTTCCATAATCACATCCGGATCCCTGCAATTTATAGATTTTTTACATTAACACCTTCTGAAAGGAAAATTGATGTAAAAAATTTACAAACTACAAGCGTTGAATGTAATGTCTAAAACATGAAGGGTTTGTTAGTAAATAGACTTTACCTCAGGGAGGTAGTTGTAATTTACCCATCCTTTTTGTATTGGGCTTTCACCATAAGTGTATGTTGACAAGTATTTGAAATAGAAAGCCCAACGCTACAGTTCAAAGCCCAGTTTAAAAGCACAATATTTATTATTTTATAAGTTATGATTAATTAATAAAAATACCAAAAAAGTATATTATTGCAAAGTTGGAGTCTTTGTCCCTTCGAGCACCATTCAATTCAACTGCAAACAAATTGGTTTATGGTGAGTAATTCTTTTCTGAATAAATAAGTTATAAATATAATTATATGAATGTGATGTTGCTAATTACTTAGATCACCTGATGTAGTGTAGAAAACGAGTTGGGAGAGCAAAGCGGATCAGTAGCTTGACAATTTGATGATCCTGAGGTCCCTGCGAAATGAGCACACGTGAACTAAGTCGGGGGTTGATCCGGCGGAAACCCCTCTGACGCTCAAGTCAGATGTCTAGATCGTGAAGATAGTAGAGAGAATATGAGCTCTCGAATATTTTTGATAAATAGAACGTACCTTAAGGAATGAGTTCAAGCATTTATTTACAGCTTAGTTCAGATTGTCGGGGCCAAACCTTACTTGAAGGTGATTGGGTCTCGGTGATAGTGGTCTTCGATATTGGGCTCGTGGCCCAGTAGGTAAATAATTTGTAGGCCCATTGGGTTGGGCCAATTAGGCATATCAGAATGTTTCTGATTTTGCACAAATTTTAGCACGTGGATGCTGATTTTTCAGGGGATTGTTTTCGCACAAACATAAACCCTATTTCATGTAAGTTCGAATTTTTTTTCTAATTCATCATGAGATTTGAGGTTGAATAGCGATGCCTTTTCATCTAGGCTTGTGAAATTTTAAATTTGGGCGAATAGGAAAAATGACCATCAAATGGGATTTAAATGCATTTTGATCCACAAAAAACAGTTTCTCAATTATACTCATCCCATGTCTTTAGTCTAAAATACCCTCCATAATATAATTCTTATCAATTCCATCTATATGCTCTAACTTCCCTGAATATTACACATTGACCCAGGATTTAAACAAATATATCACATTAACCCCCAAAATATTTTTTTTTTCAGAAAGTAATTTTTTTTTTCTGATTTTTTTTTTCCGGCCAGATTTCGGCGTTGACATTTTTTTTTTTGAAAACTTTTTATTTTCCTGATACTTTTTTCCGGCCGGTCAACCACCGGTCTCCGGCGTTGACTTTTTTTTTTTTTGATTTTTTTTTTCTTAGAAAAAAATATTTTAGTTAATATTACTGTCTTGGCTACTAAGTACTGTCTCAAACATAATATTACTGTTTGA